TGTTTCCATAGGATCACTTTTGCTTTTGTCTGTAAACGTGGTATCTCCTCCGGTTTTGTCAGAGACAAATAAATATGGCATCTTAAAGGTATACCATTTCGTCGGTTTCTGCACTCTTCATCTAGCCACTGATAGCCTTCGACTATCTTCGTGAGTTAATTTTCAATTTGCCTAAAAAGACAACTGATCTACCCAACCACCGACCACAGGAAATTGGATTTTAGATTAAACTTGTACATAATCAGCCAGAATGATGGCTGAGACGATGCGATGTGATGTAAATATACCCATCTTTCGCATGAAAGTTTGTCATCTAGGGATTTACACAGGTCGATCTCAGTTGAAGATTACAGCGTATTCTTCTTGGAACCAAGGCCTTACAAAAAAATGTGGTATTGTAAAATATGAGAAAAAAGGTATCAATGTAGTCCTACCTTTTGCACTTGTCTGGAATGTTAAAAGTAGAAAGAATGCCATTTCAATTGCAGAGAAGACCAACATTGTGTAACTCTTCTTTTTGTCGTAGTCTCCTTTCGCTCAATAGAGGTAGATTTCACAATTTAATATAGAATTGATCGGCCATAGTCGTCTTGCTAGGTTCCAGCGTCGGATTGTGAACTCGGTACATTCCGAGACGTCGCATTGGCAAATAGCACTGGTAAAACGTCTTGGAATGCACTAATTTCACGCTCCGACGGTGCAAATTATCATGACTGCTCTGGTAGAGAACGTCGGATAAGTTATCTTATTCGGTGTCACCCTGGCAACTGGAACATTTTGCCAAAACTAGACCAAACACTTCGATACAGGCCAATTTTCATCCCGATTCTGCAAGAAAATCAGACTTCGACTTAGATTTTGGTCCCCAAAATGCTCGTTTATTGTCTACCTGAATGTCGAACTGGCAAGTTTTTCTAACTCTGACCCATTCTATCACTTCTGCTGGTTATTCGGGTTCAAGTCCCCACTTGTCTAGGCTAATTTGCTTCCATAAAGACCTTTTGGTGTGCTTTAAAAGAATTTTTCAAATCATTTCACAAAGAGCCATAGATCGGGGGGTAGCAGATAATTTTCCTAAATCCCACTTCCGTGTCGTGTATTCTCCCTCAGTCCTCTTTATCGCCGGCAAAGAATAAAGTTGGCCTGATTCTGTACATCCTATTTAACCAAACGATTTATCAATGCAACATTGTTTAACTCGAATTCTGACTAATAAATATATTTGTTGAGCTTACTTCCACTTCGAGTGAAAGTGTTTGGTGAAGAGATTCGAAGGTCGGTTCCACCAGAAGACGACGGCTGTCGATTGGCTTTACTGGAAGGTTCATGCTGATGCTGTTTCCGAGGCAATCTCCTTCGATTCCGGTGAAAAGATGCTAAACTTCCATCCGTCATATGTCGAACATCATCAGAGCAAGGTACCCTCGTCACAACCGAATTCAAGCTAACGAGTCATGATAGGATGCTACCGGAAACGCGAATAACCCAGAGCAGAAGGGAGGATTCTACAATTGTTTAGCACACGTTTGGTCAAAGGATCGGCTTCACTTGTCTCTTTGACGAGTTGTTGTGTGGTGCTAAGGATGGTGATACTCACTGATGATGCCGGCGAAACGTTTGGAAATGTACCGCGTCCACGGTTCAGCTTTGGAAATGATCATGCAGACAATGGACTCCGGACTAGGTGTGTTTCTTGAGTAAGTCTTCTTGAGAAAATAGCCGAGAAAGGGATAGTCTAGTCCTTGTTTTGGTTCGAATCAGGTCATGTAATTTGTCTATGCTTTATTTGAGTCTAGTCTTAACCAAACCACCTGATACATGCTCCAGTTTCCTATTAGTGGAAATAGGTAAATCTGGACGTCTACCAAGAATATAACATCGAGGAACTACATTATGTGAAATAAACATCTTTTAAAATCTTATAGATTTCTTGGTTTTCGTATAGCCAGAAGAAAGTTGATAAGAATTCATACCATACGTAGGTAATATATGCGAAGAAAAGTTGGGTTTCGAGGAATCTCTTGTTTCATAATTGTTG